TTTTAAAATGTACAAAAGTACAATTTGCCGATTTTAAGTACAATTTCAACATCAAAAATACTTTTTGTACCAAACGCTCAAATCTCTTCTAGCACTTTGATTCTTAATCCGTTTACCTTTATTTCATATTTGTTACAAAACGAAATTATGAATTGTAATTTTGAATGTAAACGTGATTGTGAACAGTAATATTAGTGATGTGCGTTATGGTGATTGCGATTTCTTATCACCGGCGGGTGAAATATCCCTCATCGCTATTTATTTTGAAAAAATCTTTGGAAATGCAATTTACCTAGTGGCGATCCTGCAGAAATAGAAGTAATTAAGCAATTCGGGGTTTGAAAGTAAAAAAATGTATGTAAATTCCCTGCGTTGAAATTATAAATTTCCCTTGAGGATTTCCATTTTATCGATAGTTATCTCATTTTATGTTCATTAATATGACCTGACCTATATAGTGTATTAGTGTTTTATCATCATTGTCTTCATCTTTGACAAAATTACACGGTTTCCCGGTATTTATTTTATTCTTTTTTTGATAATTTTAATTATTTTTTTTTATAAAATTGTAGCTCATTATCAAACAAAACCTTGCAAATAAATCGAAACTTGAAAGAATAAAAAAATCAACCAGTTTTTGTTCAGAATTTGTAGACATGTTTTGGGTCAACAATTTTGTAGCCCATTCATTCAAGTATAATAAGGTGCAAGTTTGAAGTGTCTAGAAAATACCATTGATTTTTTGAATTTTTCTGTTTGCGGTGTTGCGCACTTTCTTCCATATAACGAATGCGCGTGTAGCGTTATTGTTTTTTATTGCAATTTTTAAAATTAAGCTTTATTTTATAGTTTTTCTTAGACAATGATAAATGATGTACACAAATTTCAGTATGGAAAAAAAGTGCAACACCTTCAACGAAAAAAGTTCTCAAAAATCTACGCGAATTGAAATAGTACATTCAATCATTTAAACATCTCGGACTTTCTCGGAAGCTTTGGGGGGAAGATTCTGTAACCAGTTAGCGACAAGTTTCGGATCGATATCGCACTTATTGACGTAAAAATATTTCATATCATACGTCAACAAAACCGATACCGATTCGAAAATTGTCGCTAACTGGTTACAGAATCTGTTGCTAACTGGTTATAGAATCTGACTACAAAAATGATATCGTCCGATTCAGCTGGAACAAAAATGCTTCAAACAAGTATGAGTTTCTCTGTATTACGGCCTCGAACCGACATATATCCATCTTTCATTTGAATTAGTATTAAAAGCTCTATTGGCTCCTACATTCGGGTTTTGATAGGCGAGTCTCCCCTGAACCGTTTTTTTTCCATATTTTTGGCCTATGTGCGCTTTTATTCGAAACCTAAATGTTTCGGTACCGAGTATCGAGAGTATTGGATACTTAAAAGCATTGACTCAGCACATCTCTACTGCTGTCATCTCGACTATGACGTCAGCAAAACAGCTGATTCTGTCAAATTCACTGAGAGCCGATTAGCGGTATTGTCATCGGCGCCACCTTCTGTATTCTCTCCANGAGTATTGGATACTTAAAAGTATTGACTCCGGACTTCACTACCGCTGTCATCTCGACAGTGACGTCAGCAAAACAGCTGATTCTGTCAAATTCACTGAGAGCCGATTAGCGGTATTGCCATTGGCGCCACCTTCTGTATTCTCTCCACCGTGTCCCAATTACGTAGTTCGCTCTCATTCGTAATTCGCACTCCAATTACCTTTCGAATTGCGTAATTCGCCATACAAAATTTTGAGAGCGAGGTAATCATTTGTTGGTAATTCAGATCCAATTACCATCCGAATTACGAAAAATCGGTGCCGTCTCTAATTTTAATCGGATATTTATCGAAACTAGCTCACACTTTTTCTGAGTACGAAAAAAAAGTTGTAAATTTGTATATTCCAAATTTAATAGGAAACTTATAAATTTGTATATCCCAAATTTAATAGGAAACTTATAAATTTGTAGAAAGAACCTACATTTGGCATAAATTTTGCAGCGAAGAAAACAAAAACAAAACACAGAGACGGAGAACTGTCAAATCGAATTAAGAATGTGCTCGTGGGAATGGGGTAATTTGCGATCGTAATTGGGGGAACGAACAAAGTAATTCAGGATGCCGTAGGAAAATGGTATAACTGGATGTCTTGTATGCAAAACTCGTTTACAATAGAGGTATTCTCCAAATTTTGCAGTCATTGCACGTAGCGCGGATTGCATGGATTGCATAACTTGCAAACACACATCAACAAAATACATGGGAAACAACATTTCCTACCGCTGCAAAATACGCAACGTCGAAACCCATGTATATATTTTGCAAAATAGCATAGCAAGATAAATGCGACCCTCTGCTAGTTGTTTTGTTGTCGGAATTGCTACATATTTCTCTCATTCCTCTCATCTCGTTCACTTCATTTTTTTTTGCTGTCTCTTGTTATTGTATTTGATACATAATTTCGCTGCTTGCTACCCATGCATGCTACCACTTTGCAATGGGGTGCTCTCGTACTCGTCGAAATTTGGAATAGTATTTTTGCATTTCGTGTAATCCGTGCATCGTGCAAGACTTCGAGAATACCCCTATTGTCTGTCAATTGGGAAAAAAGAATTGCTAGTTGTAGGCAAAAGCCATTCAATTATTCAAATTTGTTGTTACTAAACTGAAAGTTATTTTCGAGATAACTAACAACACTCGGCAAAAAACGTCAGCCTTCTTTTTAAATTATACTCCATTATATTATCGCAACTGGTATGTAACGACCCGGCGATATGCCCATAAAGCGATTGCTCTTTTGTTGTATTAATTTCTTGCACATATCAATTATTATATGAAACATGTCAACTATAATTCAATTATTTTCTTCTTACTTTTAAGGAAGTTCCAACGCTTTGTAAAAGCCTTAAGAATATACTACTTAGAGTATTTTGCTTGTACAAATTAATATTACAATACAAACAACAATATAAATGGGGAAAAATTACCGAGAACCGAGTTACCGAGTACCAAGCCATGATGCAATAATACAAGGTGTTGTACGTTGTCACAGCGCCAACTTGTACGCCCTTAGCTCACTTTTCTATTTTGGAAGTACGCGAGAATCGGGGAATAAATGAAGCCCATTTAAGAAATAGTAGTAGACTTCCTATTTTTTTGTTACCTTTTGGGATATATACTACAACGAAAAATGAAATTGGTATGCAATGTAATGAATAATTTAATCTTTTGCACTAATTTTGACTTACACGATCAAAGTCATTCTTCAACGATTTATTAAGTGAGACGATTTTTATGTTAAAGTTAGATTTGCGTTAGGAGCATTTTTTATATTTAAACTACTTTAGCAAATCATAAAGCACAATACATACTAGCCGAACCTTAAGCTAAATACATATCTATTTTTTAGAAGCTTTTATTTACTTTCACCCATGTAATCAAATCTTGAAATCCATTTTAACCAACTTCCCGATCAGATGGAGATTTGAAACTGCAAACTTAGCTCAGAACCCGATGACAATGCAATATGAAAGTTGAACTAATCCGCTAGGTGGCGCAGGTGTCGAGATATTTGAAAACCCGTATTTTTGGTTCGGTTTGGTTCATATTAATAAATTGTTCCGTAAATTTAACTTCTTATGGCCTTATTCATAAAAAATAAAGTAGGTTTAAAGAGCTTTATAAATTGACGTTTTCATACATTTTTCAATTTATAAACCTTTTATAAAGCTACTTTTTAGTTTTTTAACAACTAATGAAAGCATGTTAAAAAAACTGACTTTACATCTGTTCCTTTTCAAGGAATGAAGTGTTTGAGTTCTGGTATCCCCTGAGTGGTACAGCAGTGAAAAAAAAAAAAATATATGTACATATTGTATAATTTATATCTTTCGAAAATACCAATACATGGGAGGTCAGCGTGGTTATTGTCCGATGTAATTATAGTAATTTTGCTACAGTAGTTACTTAAATATGGCGGTTTTGGGTACAGAGGCGCAAAATCCAACACAGCAAAACAACGAAACAACGATCAGCGAACCCACATAAACAGCGAAAACTTCAATTAGTACGGCTTCAATCAGCTAAGGAATAAAACCCATTACTTTAAGAAATATTCATACATATATTCCACTTGTACTTACAACGCAAAAGTGTATTCGGTGCAGAAGCACAAAATCCAACTTGAAATCAGCACGGAAAAGCAGCTCGGAAAACACAAATTGTCTGTGAAATTCACATACACACAAAACACCAGAAAACCTGTGGAATAATTTTATTTATAGATTCTATATCACATATGCATAAAGCACTTACGATCTGAGCTATTGGTTTTCCGAAAATTGCAATAAATGCTGAAAATTCTTAATTTTCACAAATTAGCTATCGATTCGCACAAATTTTAATATTGATTGTCAACGAATAACAATAGAGACAGAGACGAAAAAGTCGATTAGTGATGCCAATCATTGTCGATCTATGGTTTTCCTTGTGTGAATACCATTTTTAGTACTTTTTCATGAAAATCGCTGTAATATAAAAAGGAGTTGGTCAGAGCGGCAAATTGAATTTGATAAGGGCGTTCAATATGGCGATTAGAGCGAGAGGAAAGCGAACGTATAACACCTTCTTTATTGCATCATGGGACCAAGCTGTGCGGGAAGAACTCTATTACAAATGTGTATGCTCAGAATTGAAAATTCAGTACAAATCAGTAAAAATTTTAAAAAATTAGGGACTTTAGCGTTAGTTAGTAGATAGTCAAAAATATGTACTGATAAAATCACGTCTCGCAACCGTAATCTAAACTATTAAATGCTAAAGAAACCCAATTTTTTAAAGTAACACAATTTACTTTTGGTGAAACTCCTGTATGCAAGGAAAATTTTGTTTTCATTTCACACATTTAACTAACTTTGTAATAATAATGATTTATTTGCATATAGCACATGATTATTCTCCGTTTTAATTTACAGGTGTATGTAGCAGTTGATGATCTTCCACAATGGGAAAACTGCTTTCTAAAATTTTTGGCAACAAGGAAATGCGGATTTTAATGCTTGGTCTGGATGCCGCGGGAAAAACAAGTATCCTTTTTTTAAAAACTTCCAATAAAAAAACTTACAAATCCAGGAGAGAGTGTATACTTTTTTGACAAGTATATTCTGGTTTGAAAAAAGCGGTCTTTATAGTAGAGGAGACCGTGGGAGATCGACCTTCGCCGATCTGATAACTCGATGAGACATATTTTTTATCAAATATAATTTATAAACAAATATGCTTATGATAACTTGCCTATCGAAAAGTGTTCATAGCTATTTTTAATTTAATTAATTTTAATCAATATTCTTTCATCACCTTCACTCTTGTGATAACCGAATGAGTTTTATCTCAATTGATAGTTTTTAACACACAGAATATGCCTAGGTAGGCTTGCCTACTTATTTCTGTGCATGGCTACTTGGCATGTAGATGTGAACAGGTAAGTCAATATAGGTAACTACAGCGATCTGTTAACCAATCCAAATTGATATCATAGGTAAGATATTTTAATTACAAAACCAATCATATAGGCTTGCCTGCAAAAAATCGTACTTAAAATATTATTGCCAAGCTATAAAGTTTTAGAATTTTAGCTATTTGATAGGTGCGAGAGAGAAAGTAGAGCGTCCGAGGTCCGTGTGATAGAACAGGAAACAACATAGCAGCTGCACGCTACCTGACCGTTGAATGTAAACAAAATATATATTCTTTATTTAAAATTAAGTAAAGAATAATTTATTTATTATTTAAAATTAAGTAAAGCGGGAAAGAATAAGTGTTACTTTTAAAGTTTTATTATAATAAATAAAAAAGTCATCAATATAGAAAAATAAAATTTAACACATTTATGTTCTTAAAAGCGTTTACTACAAAGCATACAAAATCAGGGACTGTAACGGTTAAAACTTTTATTATAAAAATCACTTTTTAATCGTTATTAACTGAGTTTTATTTTTTGCTCAAAAAATAATCGTTACGTTTTAAGTTTTATTTTTTGCTCGGAAAATAATGGTTACGTTTTAGGTTTTATTTTTTGCTCGGAAAATAATCATTATTTCTTGAGTTCAATTTTTTGCTCAGAAAATAAAAATTAATTTTTACGTATGCGTATGCGCATGCGTGAATAGACAGGGGGCTGCTGCATTGAACTTTTAACGTCACCGCGGAGTGGGTAATGAAAATACAGAGAGCAAGAAACAAGGGCAGCTACAAAACCACAGACACTAACAACCTATATTGAAGCTGAAGAACAGGACAAAGTTTAAGGTAAATAAAAAGACAAGGATAAAGATAATGATGAAGATGAAGATGAAAAAAAATTTAACTCAAGAAATAACGATTATTTTCCGAGCAAAAAATAAAACTTAAAACGAAACGATTATTTTCCGAGCAAAAAATAAAACTTAAAACGTAACCATTATTTTCTGAACAAAAAATTAAACTTAAAACATAACCATTATTTTCCGAGCAAAAAATAAAACTTACAACGTATCGATTATTTTTCGTGCAAAAAATAAAACTTAAAGAGTGAAAATCTCTCAAGTGGGCTACCCAAAATTGGGTGGTCTAGATTTTTTCAAACAAATAACTTTATTCGATTTACAACCATAAAAAAAATATATAATTTGAACAGTTTTGCAAAATTCGAATTTTTACAAGGGCTACTGTTATTAACTTTTTTTTTGATGAATTTAGTAATTATTTATTATCCACTGATTCATAGGATGTAGCTTGCTGATTTTTTGCATGAAAATATTGATAATCAAACACGCTTTAGCCTGATTGTTTCGATTTTTCAAAAAATCATTATTTTGTACAAAATTTTTAATTTTTATAAAAAATTTGTATAAACAAATGGAAATATTTATTACTTCTCGATCAGATATTTTAATCGTTTACATTAAATATCAATCCTTATTCTATAATACATTATTAAAAAAAAAACACGGAAACCTGCATGCAGTCAAAAGTTATAAATTTTTTTCGCTCCTACCACGGATGCTTTTGCTTTCATGCCTCGTGCCGCGCGGACTCGCAGCGAGCGTGGTGCAACCAGAGAACGGAA